TGAATTACTGTTATTTGCAATGTCAAGATTATACAAATTTTGAATTGACTTCACTGGTTTCATCTAGTAAGCTGTGTTCTCATGTCTAAGTCTGTCAGTTAATGAATACAATTTTTTTTTAATTAGAACTGGTTGTTCTTTTCAATGAATGCAGACCAAAAACATACTCCTGTTTGTTTACCGCCACTAAGGACCACAAATGGAGACTGCATTTCTTTCTGCTTCTGCTGCAAGAGGCTAAGCGTTCCGAGTGGGTGTCTGTTGAGCTCATCTGTTTCATCAACTGGGGGGTGGGGAATTAATCTTCTTCAGATGGGGCACAGTCTGTTTGCCCTTACACACTGTGTAATATCTGCAGCTCCTGTCACTGATTATCCTAACAACTGGCCACATTTTAAGTTATTCCGCTGCTTGAAGTCATCAATTTCTCCCAATTTCCAACCCATGGTCTGTGTCTATGTTTACTAGCCTAATGACAAATGAACAAATATGCTGTGTGTTTTATGAGGAGGCTCCATCTGCCTTGTCACAAAGTTGCAGTATTCACTTCTGTCCCAGGACTGAAGCTACTGTGTATGTTTGCAGTCAGCAGAAAATAAATGCACAAAAAGTGTGGATGGATATCTATCTGCTATGTGGAATCGTGGACATGTAACAATAACTAAAATTTGCTTCCTTATGGAGCACCATATAGAAATAGCATCAGATGGTTTCACAGTCTCGTGTGCAGCACGTCCTTCTATAGAACTTTCTAAAAGTTATTTAGTACATGTTTCGACTTATAAGGTCATCATCAGGTGTTTTAAAATCATATATTATAATTGAGGAAACTGCTGTGCTTCCATATTGTGGTTTTTGGTCATCACTATGCAGTCCCTTCTATGTGCATGTATATACAAAGTGGCTGGTTGCTCTGCCTGCTGCATTATGCAGTGCAAGAGGGACACGCAGCATAACACAACACACAGAACAACCCACCACTTTGTATATACATGCGCGTAGAAGGGACCGCATAGTGATGACCAACAACCACAATGTGGAAGCATAGTAGTTTCCTCATTTATAATTTTAAAACACCTGATGATGACCTTATAGGTCGAAACATGTAGTGAATAACTTTCAGGAAGTTTTACAGAAGGACATGCTGCACGTGAGACTGTGAAACAGTTTAAGGTCTTTCATTCTGGTCCGTCACACTAACCAATTAACAATCAAGTTCCTTCCGTCAAATGTGACACTTTTTTAAGTTTTCCACCTCGTCAGCACCTGCCTTACATGTTTCGGCTCACCACGGAGCCATCATCAGAGGCATTTATAGTAGAAAAAGAAATCACCAACACACAAAACTTCACTTTGTCCAAGATAGCCACGTTCCAGTTAATTAAAATAATTACAAATAGTTAAAATTACCCAGAATGTCGGTTCACTAAAAGTTTTTCACACACCACAGTAGCTTCCTTATTTGATTCGTCGTTAATTCTGTAAAATTATGTTT